ATTGGCCGTTTCCGGTTCGCGAGAGGGCGTCGCGGCCGTTATTTTTGCGGGTCCAGGTCCGTCGGTTTCGGTCCCAGGCCGTTTTCACTAAGGGGAGGTCTACTAAAGAGAGTTTTGTCCACCGCCGACTCTTCCTTCGCCCTGCTCCCTCCTCCCCGCTGTCGCAGTTACACTGCCGATTGGTTGTTCAGGCCACGGTTCACAGCACGAGTCTGACCACCGCCTGTCGGGTCGTGCGGTGCGGTGTCCCCGGATGGCCGGGCGACCTTTGGCTCCGCGACGTGGCTGTGCCACCCATGACGTTACCAGCCTCGAACTTATCCCTGTCCCTAAGATTGACACGCCCAAAGGCGATGACAATCTCAGGGATCCGCCCTCAAAAAATAAGGGAATCCCTAAGATTGGCATCGTGATGAGGAGATGCCCAGCACAGGGATAGGGATACGTTCCAGGCTGGTAATGACATCTTGCATGGAAGACCAGTCGTCGCCTAAAGTCACGACCGGAGCCTCGGGCACCCCTCTCTCGGCGACGCTGTCCCAGCCGGATCGATCCGCGAGGGCCCCCGGGCCCGCACTCGAGGCCGCGCCTGTCCGCTGGGCCCCGCGGGGGGGCGTGCTGGGGGCGTGCTGGGGCCCCCCTGCGGGCCGCGGGGCACTCCCCGCAGCGCCCGGAGCATGGTGGCGGAGATCGCAGACGCGACCGTGGGGAGCCGACTCGCGGGCACGAAGAACAAGACCAGCCGCGAGGAGGTCCGGACGAGAGAATCTGGGCCTCCTAGATGAGGTCGGAGTAGATGGGGTCGGAGGATCGCGCCGCATCGCCGATGCATCGACGATGCATCGGCGATGCGGCTCGATGTAGGGCCCAATTTTCTCCGCGCCGACGTCGTGGATGTACCGCCGACGTCGCCAGCGCATGGCCGATGCATCGGCGATGCGTCGCGATCCTCCGACCCCATCTACTCGGACCCCATCTAGGAGGCCTCTAGAGAAAGGTTCCGCTACCGCTGCCCAGCTTCGTTGTCGCCCTTTCTCGGGCCGGACGAAAGGGGGGGATTGGGGAAGGGGGGGTTGCGAAATGTGCTGCATGCAGCCAGTTTCGGCCCCGAGGGGCCCATTCCTCGATACATGGTCGCCTCTGGCGCCGGGAGGCGCCGGGAAAATCAGCTACGTGAGCTGATTCTCAACCCCCCCCTTTGCTATCCCCACCTTTCGCCCGACCCGACTTTCCCGGAAACTGGAACACATACATTACCAGTGGTGGGCGGTTTTTCAATCCCAGGACTTCTTGAGGGTCGGGGACGACGTCGGGGTGGTGTGGGGTATGCTTATTTAGCCTCCCGGGGAAGCAACGAAGAAAGTATACACCAGGATCTCGAACACGCCAGGACCCGCTTTCCTGTGCTGGAAAAAGCGTCGGTGTATAGAGCTTATTTCCTGAAGCTTTCGGGCCTCCCGTGAGGCCCTCGTCGCCACCGCTTGATCCCCGTCGAAACTCTAGTCAGAACGCACCCCTGGAGAGGTCGGGGGAGTAGCGGTATCGGTACCTGTTGGTTTCCCCAGAGGTCTTGCAGCGGGCCCGGGAGCTGGGCATCCCCGAGCAGGAGACGCTGTGGCTGTGGATCGCGGCGCTGTCCATGAACTCCGCCCTGCCCGAGGGATGGAACGAGTTTCAAGACGATCAGGGCGAGACCGCGTTCTACCATCCGAAGACGAAGCGGCTGCAGAGGACACACCCCGTGCTGGACAGGTTTCGCCAGCTCTACAAGAAATGCAAGTCGTTCAACGATCGCTCTGCCAAGCTGGACTCGGTCGCGAAGCAAGAGAGTACGATCACAGTCATCATGAACGAGGTCTTGAATCGCTGCATGCGGGAGCTGCCCCCGGCGACGCCCGAGATAATCGAGCGGCTGGCTTTGCTTCTCGCCATCAACACAGCGGAGGACTTTAAGATGACGAACAAGCTCAAGATCTTGACAGTCGAGTTCGCCGAACAGCAGTACGAGACGCTCAACGCCACCAGGACCAAGCTGACGGTGCAGGGCTTCCTGGATCAGGTCCGCATGGATTTTGTGCGGATCGAGGTGATCGAGAAGCCAGAGAGCACGGTCATGTGCTGCGAGTACCCAGACAGGCCTGCGATGGTCAAGGATCTCGTGACGTTCGATTTCTACTCGCTGGAGGGCTTCGCGGCAACGCACTCCCAAGGCAAGAGGCGGAACCATGAGACTGCCAAGGTCGAGCAACTCGTTTGCAGCATCTTCCCGCAGAAGCTCGCCACTTGCGAGGTGGACCACACCTACTTCAGCAGTGAAGGCTACAGAGAGGCGCTGAAGAAGAACCCGAACCTGCGCTCGAAGCACATGAAGATGATAGGAGGCTACACGTGCATGGAGTACCCCGACAAGAGAGCGGAAGTGCTGACGGAGGACACTTTGGAGTTCTTGTCGTGGGAGGGCTACTTCAAGCTCCACCGCAGGAGGGCACTGACCGGCAGACTTTACCACTTTCTGCTCACGATCGACGAGGACGGCTACTTCTACCGCAGGGGCACGAAGCTGCCGCCCGAGGAGCGCAGCAAGCTCGTGGACAAGGCCTCGTTCCTGCGCGACGGCGGGCCCTGGATCCAGTTCCAGGACGACCAGCTGGACGCGTACTGGTACAACTTCGCCGACAAGGTCGTGACTCACGACAACCCGTACTTCAGCTACGCCGCCGACGGCGGCGAGGGCGGCGACGCCTGAGCTGCGGGCGCGGCGGAGACCCAGGGCGCTCTCGCCCCCCATCGGGCATCCTTGCGACTGCCGTAGGACAGCAGACACGGCGTGCAGTCGGGGCGCTGAAGAAGGAACTCTTCTCGTTGGGGGGGGGGGGCTCCGTGTTCCTTCACTGTTTCGCAGCTTGCCTCAGGTTTTCCTGAGGTTTCCGATGGGCAATCGAAGTTCAATTTGTAGAATGAAGGGGACTCGTTCCTTATTTAGGGTTCCTTAGGTCAGCGCCCCGACCATAGGCATGTACTTTTGGACGTCCGCGCGTCTTTCTGGGATCGGCGCCGGAAGCACCCGGCTGCGCCTCCGCTGCCGAGCCTGGCGCGCCCGCGCGCGCGCCAGGGGAGGCCTGCGCCGGCCTCCGGAGCTCCGCGCGGACCTCCGCAGGTTTCTGCCTGTGCACTTGTTCTTCCACACTGGGGGGGACTTGGAGGGTTTCTCCGAAGGGCTTAGGCGATTCGTCCTCCTCCTCCTCCTCCTCCTACATCTCCTCCTCCCCCTCCCTCCTCCTCCACTTCCTCCTCCTCCTCCTCCGCCTCCTCGGGTCGCCTACGGCCCCGGGGGAAACCGTGCAGGGGGACTTGTTGGCGGGGGAGCCCGGCCGCGGCAAAGACGCGCCCGCGGTCTCCCGCGCTGCCGCCTTTGCGCGGCCTTTCCAGGACTTGCTAGGCGCAGAGCGTGAGCCCCGCGCGCTGACTCATCCTCCCCGTTCTTCTTCTTCTTCTTCTTCTTCTTCTTCTTCGTCTTATCTCCTTCTTCCTTTTCATCTTCTTCTCTTCCTTCTTCCTCTTCCCTTCCTCCTCCTCCTGATCGATGGTCTCTTCATCCAGTTGCCTGCGGCAGACCCTGCCACCGCGCCTGTGCAACAGCGCAGCAGGAATGAAGCTGAGTGCAGGAACAGCGCAATTCCAGCTAGTGGTCTGAACTGCGACGCGTCATGAGGTCGACCTCGTCTTCGTCCGCGCGGTAGGGAGGAAGGAGGAGGAGGAGGAGGAGGAGGAGGAGGAGGGAGGAGGAGGAGGAGGAGGAGGAGGAGGAGGAGGAGGAGGAGAACACGGAGACGAGGAGGAGACGGCTTCTTGGAACCCTCCAGCAAGGTCCTGAGAGCCGCCTGAGGGCCTCTTTGGGGCCTCTTGCGGGTCTCGCGGGAGCCTCTTGGGGCCTCTTGGGTCGTCTTAGGGGGCTCTTGGCCCGTCTGGCGCCTTCGGAGGCAGTCGTGGGGGCCTCTCTGGGCCGTCTTAGAGCTCTCTGGGAGCACTTGAAGGCCGTCCTGGTCCGCTTGGGCCGGCGTGGGGCGGGGCCCTTTTGGGGGCCTCTTGGGCTGCCTTGGAGCTGTCGTTGAGACTTTTTGGGCGGTCGCAAATCCAAACAGGCGAGAACCTCAAAACCTGTAAGACACCAAATGACTGGTTTCTGCCTCCATGGGCTTCCCTGGGGAGCCTCTATGAGCCTTCTTGGGCTGTCTTGGAGGCCTCTTTGGCCGTCTTGAGGCAGGCTTGGGAGCCTCTTGAGCGGTCTCGGGCCATCCTGGGCCGTCTCGGTATCATCTTGGCTGTCTCGGAATCAGTCTTTGAGGCCATCCCAGCCGCCTGGAGGCCGAAAAGCTCGCCAGAGAGTAATTTCAGGGGGGGGGGGCGGTTTTCAAGGGGCGCGTGGTGCGAACTCACAAGATGAGCATTCTAACACGCCCACTCCGTGCAGGCACATTGGCGGATTCTCCTTGCTCTTATTCTTTACCTTCTACTCATCTCTACTCTCTTCCGCCTTCTCCATCCAGCCGCCTGCGGCAAACCACGCCACCGAACCAGAAGGAGGCTGAGTTTAAGACCAGCTCCCGCGCAGTGCCCTGCCTGAGCTGGAGCGGTTCTTCAGCGCCTCCTTCTTGTTCGCAGCTTCGTTCTCCCCCTCTTCCTCCTCCTCCCCCTCCTCCTCCTCCTCCTCCTCCTCCTCCTCCTCCTCCTCCTCTCACTCCTCCTCCCCCCAAAATTCTTTTCCCTCTTGAAGGCGTCTTGGAAGCTCCCTGGGGACTCCAGTGGGCTTCTTTGGAGGCGGCGACGGGGCGGCGACGGCGACTGCATAGCCGTCAGACCGCCGCACCAGCCCAGACGACGGGCGGCGACGAGGCGGCGACGGGGCGGCGAGGGCGGCCGCATTGCCGCCAGAGGGGCACGCCGGCCTAGGCGACGGGCGGCGGCGAGGCGGCAACGGGGCGGCGGCGGCGGCCGCACAGCCGCCAGAGCGGCACACCGGCCCAGTTCGTATTCGAAAGCAGCTGCGAATCCCTGACCGAAGCATTGTTTGGGGAATATGTATCGACGGATATACAGTAAGACCGATAGATCGGGAGATCGGTAGATAGATGTCGAAATCTTCTGGTGCTCGTAAATCCGATCCGACACCAGTCGCAAACCGAAAGCTGCACCCATCCTCTCCGAACCTCCTTATCGCCCGAAGGGTGACCCTGTAGGTACACTGTTATTCTGAAGCATATCGTTGTTTGGTCTCGGGACTCGCTGGAGGCGCCTCTTTGGGTGTGTCTTGTCGGCTTGTCGGGACCTCTTGGCGTGGAGACCGACAGGAGCACCGGGGAGCCGAAACTATGAGGGGCAGATGTTATACCTCTCGATGTGGCGGGGTCGGCACTCGAGCACTACGGAAGCCATTTTAGACAACAGATATCATTGCTACGCTCCACAGCGTGCAGGCATGGTGGAGGATTTCGCGCCATCGTCATAATCACCACCACCATCATCATTACCATATCCATCACCGTCACCATCACCATCACTGTCAGCATCACCATCACCATCAGCATCACCATCTTGATCATCATCATCACCGTCGCCATCGCCATCGCCATCATCATGATCATCACCATCATCATCATAATCACCATGCTCATAAGCATACTCATCATCATCATCATCATCATCATCATCATCATCATCATCAGAAGTGTCATCATCACCGCCATCATCATCATCATCATCATCATCATCATCATCATCATCATCATCATCATCATCATCATCATCGTCATCGTCATTGTCATCACCATCACCAGCACCATCACCACCACCATCATCACCAGCATCATCGTAATCTTCATTATCGTTGCCATCAGTATCACCACCATCTTCATCATCATCCTACTTTCCATTATCAGCGTCAGCTCCCAGGCATCCTCATCATTATCATCATTATCAACAGCATCTCACATGTCGGCATCAGTATCGTTGCTATCGTCGGCATCCCTACGATACTGAACAGCATCATCACCACTCCCACGATCCCCATCCTTGCCATCATTGCCGACACTCCCGCCATCACAAACATGATCAATACTACCATCATTATAGTCATGTTCATTTTTTCGTCATTGTCGTCATGTCCATGCGTATAAACTCATGTTCACCGCCTTCTGCATCGGGCTCTTGTCGGCGGCGAGCGAGGGGGGGAAGTGAGAAGGGGTGGGCCTTCTCAGAAGGCTCGGAAGTCCGCCGGCCTTCTGAGAAGTTTTTAAGCCTTCCCCGAAGACACAGGACATTCCTCAGAAGGCGCGAGGGCGTCTGAGAAGCCCCGCTGCCTTCTGAGAAGGCCTTCTCCTTCTCACCTCTCCCCCTCGCTCGCCGCCGATCTTGTTGCAACAGAGGGCCGCCGCCGCGGCCGTCGTTGCGCCAGCGCCCGCGCAGGCCGGGCTGCTCTTCGGCCCGCCCGACTCCACCGCGGCCCTGTGCAGCGGCGTGGGCCGAGGCTGGCCCGACGCTCGCGGGGTCTTCGCGAGCAGCTCCTCCGGCCTCTCCGCGTGGATCAACGAGGAGGAGCACCTCCGCATCTCCTCGGTGCGGCAGGGCGCCGCTCTGCAGGATCCAGGGGCCCCACGAGGGGGGAGGGGGGGACGAGGGGGCTACGAGGGGGCCACGGGTGGGGGCCACGAGGGGTGCCACGAGGGGTGCCACGAGGGGGCCACGAGGGGGGGAGGGGCCAGGCCACAAGGGTGTTTGTGTGTGTAGGGACAGGTCCGGGGGGAAGCCTCGACCCCCCAGTCGCCCAGGCATCGCCGACGGGGGCCCGGCACCCCGCCTTGTCAGGGCACGCGCGGCTTCGCCGTCGGGGGCTCATCGCCGATCCATCGGCGTTGCACCGCCGATTCCATGTCGAGGCTTCTCCCCGTTCTCGCTCCCTCTCCGCCCCTTACGGTGGACTGCGACAGGATCTGCGCACGCGACTCGTCTGTGTCCAGAGCTGGCACGTAGGCTTTCTGCGAGCGTGCCCGGCACTTCTTTCGGCACTTCTTTGAACGAGGCGAGGTGCACACCCGAGCTAAACGCTGCGAACGGGTGCGGAAGAGACCAGGATGAGGAGGAGGAGGAGGAGGAGGAGGAGGAGGAGGAGGAGGAGGAGGAGGAGGAGGAGGAGGATGAGGAGGAGGAGGCATACTGGGAGCCCTTCGGGGCACTCTTGGCGCTTCCTGGGAGCTTCCCAGGGGCCGTTTGGAGGCATCTTCGCCCTCCGGCGAACCCCAAAGAGCCTCCTCGGTCCCCCTCGAGGACGCATTCCGCGAGCTCGCGGCGGCGCTGGAGGCCGTGGAGGCCTCGCTGGCTCGGCGCGGCGGCCAGCAGTTCGCGCGCAGCGACCGCCTGGGGTACCTCACCGCCAACCCCGTGAACGCGGGCACCGGCCTGAGGGCGATCAGGAGAGACAAATGAGCACAGGCATTAGAACATCAGTAAAAAGAAGTCAGCGGCGCAGAGGGTCCTCAGGCACGAGCAGTAGAGGGAAGTGCGCATTGCAATCGAACGCTGTCGAAGGCACAGTGTGCAAAACGTGCACAGTGTCAATGCAGCGATGGGTGAAGCACAGACGTGCGTAGACATTGATTTCCACGACGATGTCGGAACATAGAGGACATGACAGGGGGAGACGACAATCCAGGAGACGTGGAACAGTATCTGGAATCCTGGAATTCTGTGTCGATCCATGTGTGTCTCACTGGGCTCGACTGGTTCGGCGCGTTTCTGCTCCCCTCCTCCTCCTCCTCCTCCTCCTTTTCCTCGCCTCCCTCTCCTTCTCCTCCTCCTCCCTCTCCTCCTCGTCGTCGTCCTCCTCCTCCTCGTCGCCCTCCAGGCGAGCGTCGTGCTGAGGCTGCCGCTGCTCACCGCCGACCGCGGCCACAGGGGCGCCCTGAGCAGCTGGTGCGCGGCCGAGCGGCTGTACGCCCGGGGCGCGCTGTGCCAGGGCGGCTCTGTGCTGCCGGGCGTGCTGGAGCTCTGTGACCCTGCTTGGGGAACGTGAGACTCGAGTGTGCCGGGACCTGCCCCGAGATCCTGGCGTCTTCAATTTTTCTCGAGCGGGGCGTGCTCGCCTCGTTTCGGGCCCCGGGCCCCTCACATATCGAGCCGGCTCGGAAAAGGGCGCAGAAAGATCGGGTCTAGGGCTCCGGGCGTGATTTCCTACGATGTTGCAGATTTTTCGCTGCGTCGGATCTCATGGTATGTCGGGGAAGCGAAAGACTCGAGTACGCCGGGGCTCGGGTTCGCCTACGTTTTTGACGAGCGCATCATGGATTTTGACGGTTCAGTTTTTGTGGGATGTCTGCAGCGGGAGCGCGCGTCAGAATTCAGACTGGGTCTATTCATTTTCCCGATGGCCCCGTCAGGCCAACCCGAGACGCCCGTACCCGAGTCTTACGTCTCCCCGACCATTCGCGAACCCCACCACTGGTCGTCGTTGTGTCGTTGCCGTGGTCGTTGTCGTTCTGTGCAGTTCTTCTATTTTCCACCATGTCTGTTGCACGTGGACAGTGCTACTTGGGCGTGTTGGGGCTCTGCGACCGTTCTCGAGCCCCACCCCTGGCCTTCGTTGTGTCGTTGCCGTGCTCGTCGTCGTCTTGCGCAGCTCTTCCACTTTCCACTTCGTCTGCTGCACCTGGGCCGTGCCACTTGGTGTGTCCAGGCGCCCACGTTCGGTCAGCTCGTCGTCAGGGGCCTGGCCCGGAGAGGTCGGTCAGCAGGCCGCGCCGTCCCGCTGCTGCTCGCGCCCGTTTCGCGTTTTTTTTTTTCGCGTGCCCGACCGCCCTGCAGGGCCCCAGGCGCGCGTGACCCCCGCATCGCTGCATCCGCAGCCGCATCCGTACACTACTCCGAAGGCGGGCCTGTCCCTCTACAGGAGGAATATTAAAAAATATTCAAAACATAGTCTGTAGACGATTTTAAAATCATTTTTGATTATCTCAGGATTATTTTTTGACTATTTTTAATATTTCGTCCAAAATCCGCCTGTAAGGGGACATGCCCGACCTAAACCTCCTCCAAATCCCTTATTCATCGCCCCCCGGGTTCGTTTATTTTTAGGCGCCTTTTTCGTGACTGGGGGGGTCCGGTTTGTTTGGGCGCTTTCTGTGGATTGGAGCTTAGGGGGTCCGGTTTATCGAGGCGCCCCGTCCCACACGGGGGTCCAGAATATTAGGTCGCATGTGGAGGGGGGTCCTGTTTTTTAGGGGGGGGGTCGATTCATGAGGAATTTGGAGTACGGGTCTGCTTGACGCTGGGGCATCGGGCACCCCCGCCGGGGCTGACCTCGCCGTGTTCCCTGACGATGCCGAGGGATGGGAAAAAGATCAAGAAGAGCACCAGGACCCCAGCCCAGCTCGCAGCCAACAACGGTTGGAAGGTCCCCGCCCCTTCCGTGAAAAAGGCGCCTCGCACGTGGTTGCCCGGGATCGGCGGCGAGCGGAGGGGGGAAGCGAGGAGGAGGAGGAGGCCTTCTCGGGCAGCGGCGGGGCTTCTCGGAAGCCCTCCAGCCTTCTGAGAAATTCTCGATGCGCCTTCGGGGAAGGCTTCGAACGCTTCTTCAGAAGGCAGGGGGGCTTGCAAGCCTGCTGAGAAGGCCGGCACCTTCGCACTTCCCCCCAGGCTGGCGTCGTCGCGTCGGCGTCGTCGTTGTCGCCGTCGCCGTGCGTCGTGCGTCGTGCGTCGTGCGTCGAGCGTCGTGTCGTCGTCGTCGTCGTCGTCGTCGTCGTCGTCGTCGTCGTCGTCGTCGTCGTCGTCGTTGCCCAGGAGCTCTCCACCAGGGACCGCCTGGGGGTCTCCGACGTCGAGGCGGTGAACCGCGCGGTGGAGGCGGCGGCCGAGCTGGTCCGCGCCGAGCGGCGGCTGGAGGCGGGGCAGGCCCTGGACCTCCACGCGCTGCCCCGCGAGGGCGAGGCGGCAGGGCCCACCACCCGAGCAGGGGATCGACTGCAGAAGGGGCTTGCCCCGGAGTCGTTTTTGTTCGTAGGGTCTGCGAAAAGTACGTGGCGAGGGGAGCGACCCCGGAGATCGGGGTCGTCTCCCGACATTGGCGCGTAAGCTGCCCGCGGAAGGTCGCGCGTGAGCGCCCTCGCTCCCAATGTAGCCGGACGCGCGGGCGGCCCGAGTGAGCCACCGCGTAGGGTCGCGGTGCCATCTCGCGTAAGACCCATTTTTGATCTTCGTTCAGGTGGCAGGGCCCACCTCGGTCCGGTCGGTGCGGTTCGATGTCGGCTCCGGCCGGCTCGGTGTGATTCGGCTCCGATGTGCTTCGGCGGGGGAAATGAGGCGGGGCGGGCCTTCTCAGAAGGCTCGGAAGTCCCCCGACCTGCTGAGAAATTTCCTCAGCCTTCCCCTAAGACACAGAAAGCTTCTCAGAAGGCGCGAGGGTTTCTGAGAAGCCCTGCCGCCTTCTGAGAGGGCCTTCTCTTGCCCACTCCCCCCTTGCTCGCCGCCGCGTGCCGGCGCTGCTAGGCGGCACGAGGCTCGCGTGGCGCCGCTGTGCCTCCCGGCGCCGCCAGTCCGATTCGGTTTCGGCTCTGGAGCCAATGCAAGCCGATCCGACGCGCGTGCCGATCCGATGCGATCTGCCGACCCGATGGCCTTTGGCATCGCTCGGACGTGTGCAGTTTTCCTTCGGCGAGGACCATCGAGGAGCATCCTTGATCATTTCGAGAAAAACCACGCGCGAAACCGAAAAAAAACAGGAAATGGACGTCCGAGCGATGGCCAGTGGCCGACCGCTCCGGGGAGGTGGTGCTCTCCGCCAGCCCCAGCCCGCCCGCCGGGAGCTGGGAGCTGGCCGGCGGCGAGCTGGGCCGCCTCTTCGCGCTGGCGCTCTGCGGCGAGGAGCCCGCGGCCGCCCCCGCCGTGGCGCTCGTGGCGCCCGCGGCGCAGGATGGCCACCTGTAATGGAAGATGGCGATTAATAAATGACCGGGGGTCGTGTTCACGCGGCGGCGCCCGGGATGACGATTCGAAAAAACCGGCCGCGGGCTGGAAAACTATTTTTTCATCGGTCTCCTCCAGTCAGAGAGTTGTGCATAAATAGCAGAAAGATATGTTTTTTCCCAACCATCCTGTGGTGCTGGGTCCTCGTTTTGAAGAGACGGTGCCCCGCGTTCCTCCTCCCGCTGCCCTCTCACCCCTCCTCCCATCATCATCATCACCATCCTCATCATGCTCATCATCATGAGTATCGTCATCATCATCATCATCCACATCGTGGTTGTCGGTCATCATCATCACCATCATCATCATCATCATCATCATCATCATCATCATCATCATCATCATCATCATCATCATCATCATCATCATCATCATCATCATCATCATCATCATCATCATCGGCACACCCCTCACACGTTTCGTGGCCCCATAGGGAGCTCCACCGAAGGCCCAAATGGCTGCGTCCGCATGCCGCCGCCGCCCAATTTTGGCACACCCCTCACACGTTTCGTGGCCCCATAGGGAGCTCCACCGAAGGCCCAAATGGCTGCGTCCGCATGCCGCCGCCGCCCAATTTTGGCACACCCCTCACACGTTTCGTGGCCCCATAGGGAGCTCCATCTAAGGCCCAAATGGCTGCGTCCGCATGCCGCCGCCACCCCATTTTTGGCACACCCCTTACACGTTTCGTGGCCCCATGGGGAGCTCCACCGAAGGCCCAAATGGCTGCGTCCGCATGCCGCCGCCGCCCAATTTTGGTACACCCCTCACACGTTTCGTGGCCCCATAGGGAGGTCCATCTGAGTCCCAAATGGCTGCGTCCGCATGCCGCCGCCACCCCATATTCGGCACACCCCTTACACGTTTCGTGGCCCCATGGGGAGCTCCACCGAAGGCCCAAATGGCTGCGTCCGCATGCCGCCGCCGCCCAATTTTGGTACACCCCTCACACGTTTCGTGGCCCCATAGGGAGCTCCATCTAAGGCCCAAATGACTGCGTTCGCATGCCGCCGCCACCCCATTTTGGCACACCCCTCACACGCGCTTGCCCCAGGGGTTCTGGGTGCGCATGGAAAAGTACGCGGGCGCGCCCATCGTGGACGACCTGAAGCGCCACGACGACAGCCTCACGGGGACCTCACGGGCCCGCTGGTGTTCATCGAGCCCCGCACGTCGGAGCCGTTCACCGTCCGCACCTCCAAGGTCACCCGGACGGGCTTCCCGTTTTCACACGGCAGGGTCATCGCCACGGTGGCGTGCCAGGGGCGCACCATGCGGGAAGGCGGCGGGGCGGGGGAACGGCGCCACCGGGCAGTCTACAGCCGAACCCTTCGAACGCGAGCGGTCCGCAGCCGGACCTTCTCGGTCCCGTGGACTCTCGCCCTGGGCCGTCGGCTGTCTTGCGCGCCGCTCCCTCGACCGACGCCGCCCAGGCGTGATCCTGGACTGCGGCCGCCACGAGGTCGGGAACGGCAAGAAGGAGGACGACGACTGGTGGCTGGAGCTCTACGCGCTGCTCTCGTGCGCCACGCGCCACGAGGATCTCCTGCTCATGCGGGCGCCGCTCATCGAGTTCTTCCTGGCAGGGCCGCCGGAGGGCTTGCGGAAGCAGCTGGGGCAGTTTGCTGCGCGCACGAAGCGGCGCAGGAGGGAGGCGACGGCCCTCGCCAGAGAGCTGGGCTTCAGCGAGTTCATCCGCGAGGCCTGACCTGTGGAGCGGCCCCGCACGAGCCAGCGGCGCGCGCTGGTTGTCGCTGACGCTTGGATGACCCCAGCTCGTCGTCGGGATTTCTCGCCAGAGGATGGCCGGCGCCTGTCGGGGGATGTCGCCCAGATCGCGCCATTTTCGCACGCCTCGCCACGCAGTGCGGGGGCGCTATCCGTTGACTCAGAGTCGCAGTGGACAACCCCCGCGCGTCGATGGGATTCCCTCGGGATGACCAGACCGCGTCGGCGAGGACTTCCCAGGCACTTTCGCGCGGCGCCGCCTGCGCGCTGCGTTCTGCGTGGCTCGCTGTCGGTCTGGAGGCAAAAACGTCTCCCCTCGTCTCTCGCTCCTCCTGCTTCCCATCGCTTCTTGACCGCGCGCTTCCCCGTCTCGTTTCTGCCGCTGCTGACCTGCCTTCGATATCTACACGGCGTCTCCGTCACCTCTTCCTGCGTGCCCAGTAGTAGGTCTCATGATGCGATGATGATACTGATGTGTTGGCTCGCCCCAGTGCGCTCTCCTCCTCCGCCCGCCACCTCCTGCCCGCGCTGCCCTGTGCCTCGTCCATGCAGTGGCGCGGTGCCTATGAGAAGAGGGGCCTAGTTTGCGTGCCCCCTCCTTCGTCTCATATCCGTGCGGTACTCGCAGCTGCATATGGTTGGGTCCTTCGCCAGGCTAATTTTATCGTTCTCTCCCGTTTTTTATTGAGCGTCATCCCGCATTGCGGTGCGAGTGGGCCCTCGCTGGGGGGGTCTTTGGTGCGGGCCCACTCCCAGACATGCTCGCGTCGTGGAAAAAACCGTTGTCGGCCTCCGGGGGGGGCCCTCGGCGGGCCCTGGCAACGTCGAGAAGCGACCGGCGATGCGGAGCCAGCCCTGGGGAAAGGGTCGGGACTTTCGGGGAACCCGTGGCGAAAAATTCAGGGCATCGCATGTGTGGGCTTGGGGTGCGTCACCCGGCTTGCCCGAGCGCGCGAGTGCGGACTGTCTCTGCCGCGCTGCGACGTAAAAGTGTCCGGGCTTGGGGTGCTGTTAGAACGCCGTGCGTCTTCGCCCGGCTTCGGGCCCCCGGGGCCCTCGCGGATCGATCCTGCTCGAGGAGTGCCGCAGGAATTTGGGGTCCAGGGCTCTGGTTGCGATTTCCAAGATGTTCTTTTGCTGCTGGTTCTTCCTACGGCATCGCATCTCCGGGTGCCCCGATCGCCGTAGGCGATACCATAGCGGCGGCCTGCGCACCTGGGCTTGCCTCCCCACCGCCCACCAAACCACCCCAACCCAACCCGAAGGCCCCGATTTGCCCTCCATTTCCAGTGTGGGGGGGGGTCGGGGAACATGGAAAAACACACATCTGAAACCCGTACCCTCCCCAACCCGAAATTCGGGCGAAGTTCGGGTCTTCGGGTTGGGTTGGGGTGGCCTGGTAGGTAGCCCCCCCCCCCTCGCGCCCGCTCTCCCGAAGCCGCGCTGCACCAGAGCTCACTCGTGCCCCGGGGCCACCCCTGCGCGTGGCCGCAGGAGCAGGTGTCCCGCGCGCCTCCGGCGGCGTGCGGCGCCGCCCTGGTTGCCACCCCGCCGCTCGAGGCGAAGCCGGCGGGTGCCCGCCCGGCCGCGCACGGCAGGGTGGCGGCGCAGGAAAGGCCGCAGGCGGGCAGTGGCCTCGTGGAAAGAGGTTCGGGGTTCGGGGTTCGGGGTTCGAGGCTCGAGGATCGAGGACCAGGGGGTGCTGAGGGAAACGGGTCCTGTTCTTCCCCCCCCCCCCCCTGACAACCTCCCCTTCCTCCTGGAGGGAAGAGGTCCTCGGGGGTAACGGCAGGGGTGGACTGGCCCAGGGGGCGAAGCAACGACCCCCAATCGCCCATTCATCGCCAGGTCCTTGGCCTCCGGTTCGCCCAGGAGCGTGCGGTTGCTATCGAGGCTCTATCGGCGACCTATCAGCTTCAGGTCCTGAGGAAAACTGGTCTCGGTCCTCCTCGATATACTCCTCCCCCTCCTCCTCCTCCTCCTCCTCTCCTCCTCCTCTCCTCCTCCTCTCCTGCTTCTGCCTTCTCTTACACTGTTCGTCGTCCTTCTCCTCCTCCTCCTCCAACTCCTCGACCTCGGCGACCTCCTACACCTTCTCCCCCTCCACCTCCACCTGCTCATTCTCCTCCTCCCTCCTCCTCCGTCTCCTCCTCCTCCTGCTCCTGCTCCTCCTTCTTCTCCTCCTCCTCCTCCTCCTCATTCTCCATTCTTTTCCTTCTAAATATCTCCTCCCTGTCGCGCCCCGGGGCTGGTCGAAAGGGCGGGCCGGCCGTTTCTCTTGAGACTTCCTTACCATTGATGATCCTGAACCTCAAACATTGCCAACAGTTTCACACATGGAGGGCGGGTGGTTTTCAAAACGTGGCTATCGCTTGAACGCCGTGCGCATTCGTTTAAACAATTTGCAAGAGCTTCACGGATTGAGGGCGGGTCGTTTTCAAAATGTGGCTCTCGCTTTCGCGCCGCAAGCATGTGTTTGTAAAATTAGCTGGAGTTTCGCGGATTGAGGGCAGGCCGATTTCAAAATGTGGCTCTCGCTTTGTCGCTGCGCGCATTTGTCTTGACAAATTGCAGTAGTTTCACGGGTCGAGGACGGGCCGTTTTCAGAATGTGGCTCTCGCTTTGTCGCCGCGCACGCTCGGTTTGACACACGCACAAGAGTTTCGCAGATTCCCATGGTTAGCGCACCAGACATTGCGTTTTGGAGCGATTCAGAATTGTGAGGGCGCAACAGTTACGTTCATTCGCTGTTTCGAAGTCCCAGGGATGGTGTTCTGACACGATTCAGGGTCGTCAAGACGCAGCAATCAAGTTGATTCGTGGTGTTGAAGTTCCGAGAATAGTGTTTTGGCGGCACGCATCTGGACCTTCCAACGGCTATCTCCCAACAGGGCGCTTCCCTGTAGACATGAACCCTTGTAAGCGCCTGGAGGGAGGGCTTATTCCATAGTCGTTGATGAGTCTTGGTTTTGCACTGGTCCTCCTCCTCCTTCTCCTCCTCCTCCCCTCCTCCTCCTCCTCCTCCTCCTCCTCCTCCTCCTCCTCCTCCTCCTCCTCCTCCTCCCGTGCAGCCGTTTTCGGTGTGCGCGCGCTGCACATACGGCGCGTTCACGGAGCCACCTTTCCCATCCATGGGCCCAGGGCCTGTCAAAGAACGGCTCAGGGATAAGAAAGCTCGGCGAGGAAGCCAACATCATTGGTTTTACTATGGTTTTGGTACCATTTTGGCCTCCTGAGGGGGGGCCCTAATTAGTCACCCCCCCTCCTGTGATCGATCTCACCCAAGATGGCCCAAAGATGGCACCCAAGGCTCCCAAGGGTGCCCCAAGAGGGCCCCAAGAGGTGGCCAGGAAGCCCCTGGATCCAGGACCGGTTTCCCTCAGGACCAGCTTCCTTCGTGAGAACAAGACAACACTGGCACCAACATAGACTTCCAGACGGAGGTCCGCGCGGACTTCTCGCGTCGGCGCCGGACCCCCGTCCCTGGCGGGCGAGGGGATGCGTCGCTCGGGTGGTCAGGCGCCGACCCTTCCAGTCCGTGCGGACATCCGAGGTTCTGTGTTTAGAACGTTTTTTGGTGCTTCTGCAGTCAAGACGCCGAAAGAAGGACATCAGCAGGGGCTCTGGATCTCAGCCGCTCCTGGGAGCTGGGCCAGGGGGCGTGTTCGTGGCTGAGGCTCGCCGCGGCCAGGAGAGAGCCCCTGCATTCCTTACTCAGCGTTTTTCTCAGACATTCTGCGGTCTGCTTTTTTTCATCCCAGGAAGGGAAAAAACCCACAGACACAATTCAGCGTCGATTCCCCAGAAAATCGGGGAAAGCCTGGGAAGCGGGGGGGAAGCCAAGAACCCAGAAAGTGTGGGAAAATGTGGGACATCCGGTTAGTGGTGTCTATTTCTTGGTGTGTCCCTGGGCCCCTTCACCACTGCTCGGTTCCAGAGGCCCCGACCGCTCACCCTGGGGGCAGCTTCTCGTCCCAGCGCCCGTCCTCGGTGGTCCCGTGGCCCGACGGGAGGGCCCAGGGGGCCGAGCGCTCGAGGAGACAGGCGCGGGACTGAGAGATCCGGTCGGTCGGAGCTGTGGGACCGTGGCGGCACGGTGGCGGCACGGTTGGAGGCCCAGGACAAGAAGCACCCCGTCGGAAACTGGAACATGTACGCTACCAGTGGCGGGTTTGGGTTCAATCCCAGGACTTGGTGCATACTTCTCCCCCGTGTTCCAAGGGAAACGACGAAAAATGCATACACCAGGATCCCGTATACACCAGGATCCGCTCTCCAGTGCAAACTTCAATGCAGGGCCGGAAAAGCGTCGGTGTATAGAGTTCGATTCTTTAAGAAGCACCCTGCTTGCTTCCAGGGGGCCCTCAGCTTCTTTGGTTTCGATGGTTTTGCTGTGGAGGGCGTGGCGTTCTCATCATCATCAAAAACCCACGGACGTGGACGTCCTGGGGTCTCGGGCTTGGGTTTCCTGTGGAAGCTTTCTTGTGGACTGGCCTCGACTGCACTCGCGCTGGAGTAGGGGGCCACATGCGAACCCTACCCCTACCCCCCACGATTTCTGAGGGGGAGGGTGGGGTTCACTTCGTCCGGGAGCTCCCGAGCGAAGTGAACCCCACCCTCCCCCTCAGAAGTCGTGGGGGGTAGGGGTAGGGTTCGCACGTGGCCCCCTATGGAGGCGGCTGCGCCTGCGCCCGCGAGTCGGGAGGGCGCCAAGGACGCGGGCTGCCTGCGCCGGGAGCTCCGCGCCCTGCTGGTGCAGAAGGTCGGGGCCCGAACCAGGGACTGCGCGTAAGAGGAGTAGGAGGAGTAGGAGGAGGAGGAGGAGGAGGAGGAAGAGGAGGAGGAGAGGAGGAGGAGGAGGAGGAGGAGGAGGAGGAGGAGGAGGAAGAAGAGGAGGAGGAGGAGGGGGAGGATGGGGAGGATGAGCGACCGTCGGCGCGGGCTCACCTTCGGTGGTTCAACGAGAAAAAACCGGGCCCAGCGCGGATCGAAGAAATCCGCGCGGACCTGCGAAAGTTTATGTTTGTGTTTTTTGTTTCTTCTTCTGTGAAGGATGGTGTCCTGAGGACCAGGTGCCTCAGACAATGCAAGTCCACCATGGGATCCCTTCCCGTCCTCGGGGCCCCATCCCTCAGGACCCCATCTTCGAACCACCTGCACCGGGGGAGTCCCCGGTCGCTGCATTCGATGCGGGAGCAGCGGGCTGCGCGCTTGGGTTTGGCGCTGCAGCGGCCCCCTAAAGCAGCGCACCAAAGGTCACCCTTGCCTAGGGCCACCTCTGCGTGCAGCCGCCATGGGGATGGGATAGGGAAGAGGGACTGCCTCTCCTCCGACGATACGACTTTTTCCGTGGCGTCCACCCCTCAGGGCTTCGACAACCTCCCTCGGGCCAGATTCTCATCCCGAGTCGTTCTTTGACGCCCCCAGAGCTGGGAAACGGCTTCCAGGGGTCGAAACCGACGAACTCGGGATGCTCTCTAGCAGCTGCGGCTCGCCATGGGGCACTCCGGGGGTGCCCAGGGTGTCCCGAAGGGCCGCCAGCGACCCGAGGTATGACCCGAGAGGCAGACAACGAGGGCCGCTACAGTCAGTGGAGTAGCTTGCCGGTGAGAGCTTGGACGAGGCGTGTTCGTCTGCTTCAGTTGAGGCCGCGGTTGAGGCGCGGCTCGCTTTGGCTGCCGCCTTCTCACGCGACGGCCCTCAAATCCGCGCGAGGGCCTCGAGCACTCACGGACGGAGTCGCTTGCCCTTGGCATCGACCAGCGCCATCCCCCGCGCCGTGGGCTGCTGGAGCGTGGCCCCTTGCGCAAGGATGAAGGGCTGGAGCGCACGCGTCTTGTTGGCAGGAGCAGGTGGAGCACTTGCCCTGGTGAAAATTGGAGGCTGGAGCCCAGACGGTGGGCGGCTGTAACGTTGTCCTTCGTAGAAGGGCTGGAACGCACTCCGTCTTGTCGGCATGAGCGGCTGGAGCATTCTCCCTCCTGAAGCTGATGGCTGGAACCCAGGCCGTGGGCGGCTGGAACGTTTTCCTTCGTACAAGTTAAGGGCTGGAGCGCACTCGTCTGTTAGCATGGGCGGCTGGGACACTTTCCCGTGTGAGAGCTGATGGCTGAAACCCCGACCGTGGGCGGCTGGATCGTTTTTTGTTGCTGTTCTCTGTTTTGTGAAAGTGAAGGCTGTAGCGCAGTCGTCTTGTCGGCATGAGCGGCTTGCACATTTTCCTCTGTAAAAGCTGACGGCTGGAGCCACGCCTTTTTTAGGGGTTCAAAGTATCAATCGGGTTGGGTGAGGTGGAGGGCACGGGCCCCGGGACGGAGTTCATAGCATTGTATTCACGCCTTGCCCCCAAGTGGGGGGTAGTCCGCGCGCTCTTGTGCGTGTGCGGTTGGGCGGTCTGTCGGTCTGGTCGTCGGCGTCGGTCCATCGGCCCGTCCGTCGGTCGTCGTGGTCGGTCGTTATCGTCTTGGTCGGTCGGTCGGTCGGTCGTTCCGTCGGTCGTCGTCGGTCGTCGCCGTCTCGGACGGTCGGTCGGTCGGTCGTCGTTTCGGTCGGTCGGTCGGCCGGTCGGTCCACTCGTCGGTCGTTCGTCGACGTCGGTCACTGTCTCAGTCGGTCGGTCCGGTCGTCGGTCGCCGGTCGGTCGTTCTGTTGGTGGTCGTCGTCTGTCGTCGTCGTCTCGGTGGGTCGGTGGGTCGGTCGTTGTCGTCGGTCGTCGGGGTGAAGTATTTGCTCTCTTCGCGGCGCTCTCGCGCAGGGCGTCGAAGTCGGTGGCGGAGTCGGGGACAAGTCCGCCACCCTGCGATTGTCACACTGCCGTGGCGCAAATTGATTATGCGGATTGGTATGATGTTCGGACCTGTTAACCCTTTGAATATTCATAACATGGGCAGGTGGATCCTGCGATCTCGCGAGGTATTTCGGGCCCCCTGAATTAATAACTCTGCTGTCCCAAAACTGCATCGGAAGTGACTCCGCCCAATCTGTCATGAAAAATGGGGCGTGATGCATGTCCGCGCGGAGTAGTTTCTGCTCCGCCTACTACGCCAGTTGTCAGTCATGTTGCATGCAGGCCGCATAATTGTTATTGTCGCGGCGATGTAGTCTCGACCCCGACCTCGGCTGCTTGGCGCTTGCGATGCTTTTCTGGAACCGTCGCCATGGCGTGATCTGAAGTCGCGCCACGGGAGCCAAAGAGGCTACGGACGCGACGATGTTCAGAACATGACGTTGGGCCCGAAACATTCCCGAATGGTTTTTGCACATCACAATTTCTCCACCAACAATAGTCCACCGACTGCAGAGTTGGACGAAATATGGGTGTTCAGGGAAGGGGGGTTGCGACCTTAGCGGGCCCCGAAAACAGCAGGGCTGTTTTTTTGACTGTTTCGGAAAAGGTGTTTCCTGAACATGGAAATTGTAAAAAAACGGCAGCTAGAAACAGCAACAAGAACGGCTCCAGAATCGGAGCTGGAGCCGGAACCAGACGGCGACGAAACTGGAAAAAGAACGGCGCCGGAGCCGGCAAGAAAACGGCGAAATGGAATTGGTAGAGAAGTGGCCTTGTCGTCAAAAAGTGGCCTTGTCGTTTCCAGGGCCCACTTAGGTGTGTGCAGCTGTTTTTCGGTCCTGCAGCCCGGTGTTTCCTCAACACGTTGCGTTGGCGCCTCGTGCGCCGGGAGGCATCCGAAAAGCCAACCGCGTGAGCTGATTCGCTCACTCACCTTTGATTGCCTTTGGGACCACCCCTCGTGTTATGACGAGTTTTTGTTTTGAGGGGTCGGATTGGTGCAGCTTCCCGTTTGCGATCAGCATCTAGTCGGTTTATCGATTTGTTTTCCGAGCGATATATCTATATATACACATATATATATACATCGATCGATCTCCCTTTATGTCGGTCTTTATATCTACATCTATATGAGTATAGTTGTATGAACAGATCAGTGGGTTTCACTACCTATCGGTGGTCTCGCTCTCTGTTTAATGACACCATCATCGATGTGTCTATATATATATATGTATATATCTTCACTATCTACGAAACGGTTCCACTGTTTGCTAATTCACGGGGCAACCACGGAACAACCACATGACAACCACGGAACAACCACGGGACAACGATCTAACCATCCATCGGATGCACGATCAATTTTCGGATATTGTTATGAGCCTGTCGGTTGATGTCAGGACCCATTGGTTGCACAAGGCAACTATCGATCTCACGGTCATCCGGCTTCACTAGTCTTTTCTTGGTCTCACTAACAATATATTGTCCGACCTCTCTGTTCTGACCTTCTGTCATCCCATCTACAAGCGGATCAACCGCAGAACACCCACGGGACAACCGCAGGACAACCACGGGACAACCACAGAACAACCACGGGACAATCGCGGGACATCCACGGGACAACCACGGGAGAGCCACGGGACAGCCACGGAACAGGCATGGGACAGCCACGGTACAGGTGCGGGATAACCCCAGGCACGCCGCGGGACACCCACGGACAACTACGAGGCAACCCCGAGGCAACCCCGCGCACGCCCCAGAAGGTCGCGATTTATTTTGGCGTGACCAGGGCCTAGCTCGTCGAGGGACCCGCGCTGCTTAGCCTTGCTCGCACGCGAGTCACGCAAGACACGAACTGAGATCGGAACCCATTGCCTGGTTGGGGGCCGCATGTTCACGCCAGTCTCACCGCGCCAAACTCCAATCACCCCCTCTCGTCCGACCGGATAAACAATTCTCCACCATTCTCCTCCTCTCCGCTCCCACCGTGTGCCTGGCGTGCACTCTCACAAGGTGTGCCTGGCGTGCACTTCCCTCCCTCCCCTCCTGCATCCTAATGCTGCAGCGGTTAGCTGCCACACCAGGGTGCCTACCGTGCCTGGCGTGCACTGCCCCTCCTCTCCTCCCGCTTGTGCCTGGCGTGCATTTCCCTCCCATCACAACCCGCTGGCAACACGACCTCTGGGAACACCCAGCCGCCTCGGTTTCCAATAGCCTCTGCGACGGTCCGTCGTTTCCACCGGGAAGAGTGCGAAGATAGTCGCGAGTCGCAGGGTGAGGGGCAGGGAGACGACAGAGAGAACCTTGCTGACCGTCCAACACAACCCACTGGCAACACGACCCCTGGGGATACCCGGCCGCCTCGGATTCCAAGGGGTTCTGCGATGATTAGTCACCTACGCCGGGAAGAGTGCGAAATGGGTCGCGAGCCGCAGGAGAAGGGGCAGGGAGATGACAGAGTGGCTTTTGCGGACCGTCGAACACAACCCACTGGCGACACGACCCCTGGGAACATCCAGCCGCCTCGGATTCCAACAGACTCTGCGACGGTCAGTCGCCTCCACTGGGAAGAGTGTGAAGATAGTCGCGAGTCGCAGGAGGAAGGGGACCCCCCCGCTCGGGAGGAGCTTAGTTGGCACAGTCAGGGCTGGCATAGCTAGCCAGGGTTGGCACAGTCATGTTTGGCATAGTCAGCGCGGTCGGACATGGCACAGCCACGATTGGCATAGTCAGCAACAACTGCTCGAGTAAATGTTCTACCTATCTCCTCCTCTCCTCTCACACCGTGTGCCTGGCGTGCACTTCCTTGCCTCCCCTCCTGCATCCTAATGCTGCAGCGGTTAGCTGCCGCACAGGGGTGCTTACCGTGCCTGGCGTGCACTTCCCCTCCTCTCCTTTGTTTCGCCGGGATTCTCCCACGCTGCTGGGGTTGCCGCCAATACCGCTGTCTGATGGTGCTCTGACAGCCTGAATTC